GGAAGACTCAGAAACTCAAAGTGAAATTCTCCCCACTGGACATTGGAGACTTCGAGAGCAAACTTTTCTGCCAGTAAGGAAATGTTCTCCCGAACCCCCATCTTTGCAGGGCAAAGCTCTGCAGCTCTGATCACCTCTTGTGTCCCATGTCTGTCACCATTCTTTCCAACTCTAGAGCCTTCCACAGCCCCAAATTGTCAATTTTCTCTTTGGAAGATTGAAAGGGGCCAGCTTTTGGAGAACAGGGGGAGTTTGGTTTTTGTCCTATTAATCAATCCTTTCCAGACGCTCCCCAGTGCCCCCTTCCTGGCATTATAGGCCCCTCCACAGCCCCAAATGGTCAATTTTTCTCTTTGGAAGATTGAAAGGGGCCAGCTTTTGGAGAACAGGGGGAGTTTGGGTTTTGTCCTATTAATCAATCCTTTCCAGACGCTCCCCAGTGCCCCCTTCCTGGCATTATAGGATTCCACTAAGCAACAGAATAGTTGACAGCCAGGTGGGTTCCAGTCCTTTCTCAAGCATGAATTTGAGCACGCTTTCTTGTGCCTTCTCTAGGACTCAGTTTTCTCATGTACAAAATGCAAATAACACCACCTACCTTGTAGAATTGTTGAGAAGATTAAATGAATTAATTCAAGTAAAGAACTTAGAACAGTGCCTAGCATACAATAAGCATAATAAGTATTGGGCAGTGGTGGAAGGTGGTGGATCTAGTACACAGTAGGTGAGAAATACATGGTGCCCAGACCCAGTGATAGAAAAGCTAATCCAATGACATCTGATGATGAAAGTGCCTGACGTGGTGCTCACTCCCAGGGAAGCTCCAAGGAGAACACTCACCTCACAGAAGAATACTGTGAACCATGGCCTAGGGTTGCAAAGACCTATGTGAGCTGTCAAAACTTTCTGGAACCCCTGCAATCACACCATGGAGATCCCTCCTATACCTGGGCCACCTCAGCTTGGTCCTGGGGCTGGGAGTCTGCCCACATCTGCTTCACCTTCTCCAAGGAGCTCAGGATACTTTTTTGGGATTTCCAGGCCACTTTTTTACCCCACTAAATGCCTATGAAAGGACCCAAAGGGTAAGACTGTGCTCATCTTACAGCAGGGACTTTTCTTACCACTGATGGAGGAAGTAACTTGCAGCCATACTTAGGTACACAGAAGGAACCCAAATTCGGGCTCTTCATACTCAGCCCATTCATGCATGCATCCATTCAGTAATTAATTCATGAATACCTACTATGCATCATGCACCATTCAAGGCACTGAGGTAATGTTGTTGACCAAGACAGACCCAGCCTCTGCTCCCATGGAGCTCACATTCTAGTAGATATAATATTCATTTCCAATCAACTAAGAAAGCAACACTGCTTACAAAATAAAACGTAAATAAAAATAACCTTATTCTCTCAGGATTCCCAACCTGCCACCTGGAGAGCAAGGTCCAGTCCTGGTAGCAAAAGGGCGGAGCTTGTTGCCATTTTGTCATTTTGACCTGAAAGACTCAGACTACATCAGCGGTTATCGGCGCAACCCAGAGCTCCGAGGGTCTAGCAGTGGGACTCTGGATCCAAACACCCGGGTGATTGAGTTCACAACTGTGGGCATAGGAGGGAAGAATCTCCGGTGAGTTGCTTTGGTTTGCATTGGTTGAATTCATATCAGTCAATCATTCTAAAAAACTCAAAGGAGGAATTCAGAGAAACAAGCTAGACTGATTATTAGAAGCAGGCTTGATGTCCTGGGGTTTGACCTGAGTTTTAGAGGTTTGACTTTGGAGAACCATTACATTTAGGGAATTGATCCTGTCAATTTAGTTTTGACACTGGGAAAATTTGGAAGGCATAAAAGTATAATCCCTGTCCACCACCTTGACCACAGAAAATCCATGGGACCGATGTGCCCTTGGCAGCACTCTCTCCAAAGTCCAGAACCCAAGCCATAGTTTGGATCCCCAGATGAGATGGAGTTTTCATTTCTACAGTAGTGACGTTCCCTGAACAGTTCTGGTTCCCAGATGGGGAACTGCACCAGGGCCAGGTTCTAAGAAATTTCTCTTAATCCTCAATCCCTCTCTCACTCTCTGCTGTCAATTCTTCCCCCTTGGTCAGGACCTTTACAATCCTGAACCCGACCGATAGCACCTACTCCTTCTGCTGGATCTCTGAAGAAACTGAGAGTCTCCAGAACCCTCCAGCCTTCACGTGCCTTACCAAGAAGGGATTCATCCACCCTGAGAAGAAAGCTGAGGTTTGTGCAAGTGAGGACCACTCAACCCAAGGCTTAGATCATTCTAGCTATCTCTGCGTGGCAAGTGTGCCATGGACAGTAGGTGGAGTCAGGGAGAACTGCCTAAGGGTGCATCAAATCAATAAGTATTTATCGAGTGGCCACCATATGGCAAGCCTGATGAACAAGACAGTCCTGAGCTCTCTTGGCTGACCATGAAAAGCAGAGAGCTCTAGTACTTGCAGTTTTAAAAAAGCTGAGGATATTCAAGCAGCAAAGGGGAGTTGGACACCAATGTCTGGGGACTCTAGGACTCATACAGTAGCCTGAAGTAAAGAGTTATCTTTGTCCAGGGGGCTGACAACAGTGAAAGAACACTGATGTGTTTTAACTTGGCCGGGCCTAAGGACAAAACAGAAAAGTGGGGTCATGTCCTGTGTCTTAGTCCTAAATGTTTACACAGAGGTATAGGGCAGGGGTCAAACTTATAGAAGACATAGAGAAGGGGCCAGAACACCTCCCCTGCATCATCCTGGCATTGGCAGGTACCATGCATGTTAATCTGTCTGGTTCCTTTCTGGCTAAATGGGTCAGTTGCAAAGAGACTCATTCAAGTTAGCTCAAAGGAAAAAGCACCCGGGGCAGCTTTTGAGATTGGACTTTCCTTCCAGTCCTCTCTGCTTCTCTCTACCCATCTACTCCATTCTCCCTCTACCAACCAGTTTCTTCACCTTTTATTTATTTATTTATTAGTTGCTTTGTAATTTCACTTAACAAATGGATTACGGCATGCCGTGGCCCAGCTCACCCTCATAGTATCTTTTACCATCAGCTCCACTGCCAGCTGGCCCAGCCACTCGTTTTCTAATTCCAGACTTCTGAGAGAGAAATCTGATTGGCCCTGCTAATCGTGTCCTGTTGTGCTTTGTGCCAGGCTGCTGACAAGCATGTGGATTGTCTTTCTCTGAGAAGGGTGCTGACTCTTCTGTCTATTCAGCTGTGGTACAACCATGGCATACAAAGACATGGCACAAAACATGACTTAGCCAGCAGAGGCTGTGGGTGGGGTATGCTCCCTCTGGAGGACATGTGTCCAGGACAAGTAGACATTGATGTTGCTGGTACAGCCATACCTACATGCCCTTACAGAACTGCGGAAAGGTAGCAATCACCTGGTAATGTCAGCTATCATGATATACATGGAGTAAGCAAACAGAAGTGCCTGTCCAAGTGTGACCTGAAAGTATAAGGCCCACTATCTTAAGACTGAAGAACGAAACAGGCAACTCCATATGGTTTACAAGGAGCTTACTATCGAGTGACTTACATACGAGAAGGATTGGGTGGGGTATCGATCCAGGCACTGAGCGACTGCTTTCTCTGCAACCCTGGGCCAGGGAGAGGAGTTAAAACATATAAGGGACTTAGAGATAAAGGTGGAGAGGTGGAGCTGTGCCAAAGAGAGGATGTCTATGGAAGTGGAAGACTCCCAGGTGCCTCACAGCTACCTGTTGTTTTTCCTTGGGGTTGCTGGCATCACCCTCCCTACTTTACATAAACATTGCATTACATTCCTTTCCCTGCCTCAGATACTAAGCAACCTCTGCAGGGAAAGATGGTAGCTATTGAAGCCAGAGTTCTGAAGGCCACAAGAATAGGGTGAGTTCTGCATCCCCAGAGTGTTACTTTACATAAACATTGCATTACATTCCTTTCCCTGCCTCAGATACTAAGCAACCTCTGCAGGGAAAGATGGCAGCTATTGAAGCCAGAGTTCTGAAGGCCACAAGAATAGGGTGAGTTCTGCATCCCCAGAGTGCCTCTCATCACTGTGTTCCAAATTGTCTCCTTAGATTGTGTTCCAGTTCACACCTTCCCATCTGGATGTCACAGAAGCATTATGGACTTTCTTAATCCCTGAACACAATATCACAGTCCCTTTCCTGCTGGTAGGCAAAGCCACCGACCCTCTCATCTCTCTGGACAAGTCACACCTCAACTTCAGTGCCCTCCTCATTGGTAAGGCTGCCTGTTGGTTTATATTTAAAGTTGGCATGACCTGGGTAAGGCCATCAAGATCTCCAGAAGTAGCCTTGGATGGGGAACTTTTCCTGGCACCTTCCAGATACATGGCAGAGGGCCTCTATCACTGTTCAGAAAGCCACAAAATATTTAACTCTCAATCTAATTTCCATCAAGTTTCTTTTAAACCTACACAGTAATAATCCAAGGAAATTTAGGAGCCATGTTAAAGACCCTACTTGGTAGATTCCTTCAGGGCCTGGACTGACTCTTCATTTCCAGAGCCTCAATTCAGACCCAGCCTTTCTGCATGTGCCCCCAGATTATGGGTTGTATTTGTTTACTTCTCAGTCTGTGCCACAGTGGTCAGATTTCTCTGTGATCCTTTCATGCACTTATTTGGTTCAACAAGTATTAAATGAGACCCTAGTATGGCCCAGGAACTCTTCTGTGGGCTGGGAATGCACTTATAGATAAAGCACAAAGTTCCCACCAGCATGAGTTTACATTCTAGTAATAGGAAGCAGACTACCAAAAAATAAATAAATAATAAGTAAAATATATAGCATGTCAGAGTTGATAAGTGTTCAGAGAAGAATACAGCAGGGTAGGAGGAAAAAGGAATGCCAGCAGGCAGTGGGAAAGTGACATCTGAGCAGAGACTTGAAGGAAATAAAGAAAGTGATTGTCAGGTCCCTTATAACCCCATGAATCTTTCACACAGATGTGGTGTGTGTGTGTGTGTGTGTGTAATACAGCTAAAGCCAGAGGATTTTTTTTAATTTATTTATTTTTAGCTCCCAAAAATAAGTGAGAACATGTGGTATTTCTCTTTCTGTGCATGACTTGTTTCACTTAATATCATTTTCTCTAAGTCCATCCATGTTGTTGCAAATGGTAGTATTTATTTCATTTTTTTTTTATAGCAGAGTAGTACTCTGTTGTGTAGATATACCACAGTTTCCTTATCCACTCATCTGATGATGGACGTTTGAGCTGGTTCCAACTCTTTAAAGTCAGAGGATTTTTTTAATAGTTCATTATATGTTTTATTTATAAAATAATGTTCTTCATAGTAGGTCAATCAATGAGGTGTTGAATAAGAAAAGTTTTATCTCTCCCCATCCATCCTGTTCCATCCTTCCCTTTCCATCGAAGGAAACCAATGTTAAAGTTGGATGTATATTATATTCATGTATTTCTTATACTGATACACATAAGTAGGTATGGGGATTGTGGCATTTATTAAGG